ATTATAACATGTATTTCTAATGTCATTGCTTTTGTTCTAATAGAGTATATATTATATGATATTTTTTATTTTTACATTTATTTTTATGTTTTATTTTTACCTTAGTTGTTCTTTTTCTTAATTTATTCATTAAAAAAGAAATGTCAAAAAAAAATTTTATTATGAACTTATATCCTTTTGCTATTAATATCACTCGTGACATTATTTTACATAAACATTAAAATCCTATGAATCTTGCAATTTATACCTTCCTACAATTTTCGTTATTAATTAGTTTTTATGTAGATTTTTTTCAATTGTTTTTTATTATCTGAATAAATAGAAATTTAATTATAAATTATATTGTTAATATTATAAATTTTCATTATTCTTAAATACTTTTTTTTTTTTTTTCATATGATTTATTGTAACAAATGAAAATATGAAGAATAATAAATAAAAAATTAAAATGCTTTTAATTTTATAAATTTCATTTCATTTAAATTGTTATAAAATATCAAGGAGGAATATTCTAATTACATAAAAAAAAAAAATACTAATTAAAATTATTTTATCAAATATTTATTAATGATATGATATAATTTTATGTTTACATAAAATTAATTTTGAGAATATACCTAGATTTCATTTATGCTAATCTATTTAATAACCTAGTATAAAATTATCCTAAATGAAAAAATCATTAATATGTAATTCACATTAAAATGTGTATAAAAAAATAATTTTAATAATCAAAATTATAAAAAACATTTATGTAAAAAGGTGAATTGTTTCATTTCTCTCATATCTATGGAAATAGAATCACAAAAATTTAAATTCTAATAATATATAATGTTGTAAAACTTTTTTTAAAATAATCACTTGCTTTTCATTGTTTTATATAAAAACAATTCTCACATTATTTTGGTAATCATAAATTATTGTATACAATTCATTATCCAAATAAATTTTCATGAAAAATTTACCATGATAAAACAATGAAGTTGAATTTTTAAAATATTTGCCTGTATTATTACCCAAAAAAAAAAAAAAAATAATAATAAAAACATTATATAAAAAAAAAAATACTCTTTTTTTTATTATGATGTATTTTATTAACTTTTTTATAAAATTATAAAATTTTTATTTGCGAAATTTAAATTGAAATAGTTTTTAATTATTAAAATTATATATTCCATATATATATATATATATATATATATTATTGTGTAATATATATTTAAATTTTAATCATAATTTGAAAAAATAAAGTTTTTTTTACTTAAATATATATTATGTTGAAAAAAAAATCTTAATGTACATGTATTTTTTTTTTTTTTTTTTTTTTTTTTTTTTTTTTCGATAAAAATATTTGTTATATAAAAACAATTTTATATATTTCAATTCATTTTTTCTTTAATGTATAACTATCTTTATTGCCCAAATAATACACATCTTTAAATAAAAAATTATCATATATGTAGATATTCAATTGAAAAATTTATAAAGCATAGCTTATTTTATTATTATATTATAAATACTGAATAAATAATTTTTTTTTTAAGTTAAAATTTGTTCAAAATCACTTATTATATTCCATAATTTCGTTGATTTTTATTGCTTCTTAATTTTATATTTGTTAGCATACATTCGATATATTAACTCATGTTTTTCTATTTTAATATGTAAATCATAAAGTAGTAAGAGAAAATAATAAAAATGTTTCAAATGTTTTACATAAATAAAAGATTTAACAAACATGAAACTTCTTTTTATATGATAAATAAAAATGATCCATATAATTCCTATTTCTCCTTATATAGATTCTATATTGAATAACAAAAATTCAAAATATTTTAGTAAAATATTTTCAATAATTTTTTTTAATGTTATAATATTTTTTCTCGTAAAATCTCAATTTTTTTTTATTTTCATTATTTAAATATGAAACATAATTAAAATAAACTTTCTTTTTTTATTCATTATATATGAATAATTTTCAGAATAAAATATTTTATAAATAAATTTTATATTTCTCTTTTTCATTTTGTCATCCTCAATTCATTTATACATATAAAAGTTTATGCATTAATTTTATTTCTATTTGTTAATACTATCTAATAATAAATAAAAAAATGAATTCTTTTATATATTTATTAAAAAAAACATATTTCTAATCATCTTTTATAAATAAAATTACAATATTATAGAAATTTAAATAAGTAAAAAAAAATATCCTAATATAATTAAAAAATTTAAGTAGTGGTGACATAAAAATATTCATGTCTTTTAATAATAAAAAGAAAAGATTATTAAAAAATTTGAATTTCATTATAAAATAATTCATTAATCAATATAAGTGTGTTAATTGTTTTATATATATGTAGTATGAAATATGTTTTAAAATAAATATGAAATTTTTCAATCATATTTTTTGGTATAATCTAATGTGTATATGTAATATATCAAAAATGCTATACTCATTATTTATATATGATTAAAAATTGAATTTTTCCTTTATAAATTTTTTTTTATATTTTTCTATAATGGGTTATGATAGGACAGGGTGGTTTTTACTGTTTTCTTTTTTTAATTATGTTCAATATTTTCTTTATTTTTTGAATTTTTAATGTATTTTACAATTTTCATTAGTAATTCCTTGTTTTTTTTTCTTTCAAATTTTTAAGCGTATTTTTTGATTTAAGAAATTCATTCTATTTCCTTTATATTAACCTTCAGAATTGATGAAAAACACTAAAGAAAGTTAGACATATGATAACTATTTAAAATAATTACATAAAAATGTATAAAAAAAAGTATACAAATATATATATTAAAATGACAAAAAAATCTTCCCTTTATATGAAATAGTATTTATTATTGAAAAAATATCAAAGAATATTTTTTTTGATATATGACATTTATTTTGTTTTTCTTCTATTCATTTGTATTCTTTACTAGAAAAAGTGAATTTTAAATGAATTATTATTAATGTAATAGTTCTTTTTACATTATTAAAATTAATTTTATTACTTTATTCATAAATTTTATATATTAAGTTTTAAAGGATTAAAAATAATATAATATTCTTCATGAATTTTTAAATTTTAAAATTTTTATTTTAAATAATTCATATAAGCATAATACACAATAATTTTACATAAATGTTACAATTATAAAAAAAAAAAAAAACCTAAAAGAATAAAAATACTATATACAACTTAAGAGGTTCCACAAAAATATTAGTGTAAATACAGGACACTTTTATTGAATTAAGTGTTCAAACTAAAATAATTCATTTGTATTAGAATATGTATTATAATTTTTCTTGTAATTATGAATGCATTTATTTTTAAGTTTATTGTAAAATTTAGACTAAGAATTTTAACAATTAGAATAAATAATATACATCATTCCACATTTTGATTTTTTAAATATTTATATTAACTATGAGTTATAATATATATACTTTAAAAATGTATGATAAAAATCAATTCAACTTGTGAGTTGAAAACCATAAGAATTTATACAAATAGAAAAAAGACATTATAAAGCTTATATGCTATAACAAATACTACCTGTTAAATGACAATTTTAAACATAAAATTTTTTTATATTCTAAATTAATAAAATACATAAAACATTTAAAAAATATAATTTAAATAAAAATTTTATTTTAAATAAAAAATTTCAACAAAACTTTACCAGGCTACTTTAGGTTTCACTAGGTACTATCAAAATAAGCCCAATTGAAAATTATCTTACAAAACCATCGTTATTCTCATATTTAACAAAATTTTTTACTTAAAGTTATATTTACAATAATACAAGAACAAATTTATCATTAATATTATTATTTTTAAGAAAATTAAAATTTTTATAATAATATTTCCTATTAAAAATTATTATTATTGAAATTTTATAATGAAAAAAAAATTACAAAAAATTTTCCCTTAAATTCTAAAAAATATAATTAAAAAGTTACCATATTTAAAAATAAAAAGAAAAAAACTTTCTTAATACAAAAAGTAATATATAAACTTTTAATATTCTTAGAAAAACATAAAATATTATAAAATATTAAAGAAAAATAGAATATTCTTTATACAACCTTACTGATTAATATAAACATAAATTCTTTCTAACGTTTTCCCTAAAAAATAAATTAAACTAAAAAACATTAAATATATAATACACTTATGTTAATAATTTGAATTGTTTAAAAATATATTAATTATATCAAAAAACATCTCATATACTACAAGTAACTTTTTTTATTATTACTAAATAAAAATACAATAAATGTAAAATACATTCATTTATTTAAAATGTTTTCATAAATTATATAAAAAATTAAAAAAATATTCTTTCAATTTCATTTTTTCATTATGTTATAATCATCTATTAATAATACAAATTATTAATTATTATTTTAAAAAAATAATACTTTTTCACAATAAAAAATAATAATCATATATCTTTCATTTTAAAAATAATTAAAATTTTGTTACATTTTTCCATTCATTTCCTATTATAAAATATATGAAAAACTACTAAATAAATAATAATAATTAAACTTACTTCATAAAAATATTAAAATTTAATAATACTTATTTAAAACATTCATTCTAATAAATATATAAAATAAACATAAAAAATTAACAATTTATTCTAATGATAATTTTCATAGCATATTTTTACTTTTAATAAAGTTATCCTATAAATATATTTTCTTAATAATAAAGCATTTTTTTAAAAAAAACTTGATATTTTAAAATTGTTAGTAAAATATTTAAAGTAATATGTACTTTAAACATTTTTTTTGTTTGATAAAAAAATCACTTTACCACTAGGGATAAGCCTCAACAGATCGTAAAACAAAGGTTACTTTCATGTTTACAGCACCCTGAGGCAAAAAAGTCGTCTACAATTTGTGAAATTCTTTTTTGTTGTTAAATTACGATTTCGTTCCCTATTAATATAGGGAACTAGATGGGATTATTTATGTATTTGTAAAAATACATATATAATTTCTCTTTTACATTAGCAGTAAAAGTATAACAAAAAAGAACGGAATAGTATTGTTTAATCAGCATGGGTTCTGGCTTAAGAGGCGTTCAGCCATTATCCAACAGACTTAGCTTCGCAACACTGGTTTGTCAACCAATTGCTGTACCAATTGTCTGAACCAACTAATCCTCTCGTACCAAGTTGGATTACTGTCACAATACTATATATATATATATAAATATATCATACTATTCATCAGTAGGGTAAAACTAACCTGTCTCACGACGGTCTAAACCCAGCTCACGTTCCCTATTAGCGGGTGAACAATCCGACACTTTGAGACTTCTGCGTCCCAATGATAGGAAGAGCCGACATCGAAGGATCAAAAAGCTACGTCGCTATGAGCGCTTGGCAGCCACAAGCCAGTTATCCCTGTGGTAACTTTTCAGACACCTCTATATGCACAGTAAGAAGTAAATTCCGTAATTTTGCAAATATAAAGGATCGATAGGCCACGCTTTCACGTTTTCTACTCATTCTGAAAGTAGAAATCAAACAAGCTTTTCCCCTTTTAGTCTACACGAGATTTCTGTTCTCATTGAGCTTGTCTTTGGACATCTGCGTTATTGTTTAACAGATGTACCGCCCCAGTCAAACTCCCCACCTGGCTATGTCTCCATATATATGTACTTTTATAATGGTTNGTAATACATGTACACTTGCACATTTGTTAGACTCCTTGGTCCGTGTTTCAAGACGAGTGGGTTAAGAAAGTATTTTTTAGAAACAACTTAAAAAGATAAAATAAATTTTATCTTTTTTTATCTTCCTCAGTAAATAGAATAATTATTATGTTTTTTGTTATAAAACCAGTTTTCCCTCATTAGCTAAGGATAATAGAAAAAATAAAAAATATACATTTCTTATTCTTTCGTTATATGTTTTATCTTAATTATTCCAGTTCACTGATGTTTCTTTTAATAAAAAAGCAAAAAAAAATTAAATAATTTTCCTTTCCTTTTTTACTTTTTTTCTTTCTTAATCCGTTCCATCTTAACGATTTCAGGTACTATTTAATTGCTCATTCCTGAGTACTATTTCATCTTTCCCTCACGGTACTTGTTTGCTATCGGTCTCCTACACATATTTAGCTTTATGTGAAATGTATCACACATCTTTGTGCTCCAATCTCAAAGAACACGACTCTTTCGGAAATATTCAAAAATACATAAAATAATATAAAGTACGGGCCTTTCACCCTCTATAGGGGAGCTTTCCTGCTCACTTCCCTTATATTATTTTACTATAAGATTTGAATATTTCTAGACTTGACAATTCCTTTTTTATACTATTTGCATAGTTAAAAGGATTTTCCTTTTGAGCTTTTCCTTGTTCACTCGCCGTTACTAAAGGAATCATAGTTATTTTCTTTTCTTCCGCTTAATTATATGCTTAAATTCAGCGGATTTGCCCTCCTAACATCCATTTCTATACTTCTTATGTTAATACTTTCTTTTATAATTTAAATACTTACGAAATTAACTTATTCAGATAACATCGTAAATATATAAATAAAAAAGTATTTTTTCCTTATAAATACATCTTATTAAGCATTCTATATAAATAAAAGAACAATAGTACTTTTACCTATATAAATAATGCATAATAATTTTTAAAAGTTTTTTCAAGGAAAGTTTATATAACCTAAGCATCTCAACTACTTCATTATGTAATTTCTCCGCTAAGGTTGTTTTTATGTAATAATAAAAGTAATAAGCAAATTACTTACCTTTTCATTACATTTTTAACTTTTCCTCTTGCCTATTATTTATTAGGCAATTTTATAAGGAATAGAAGTATATATACAATTAATGTAGGAGTACCATATTCCTTTAAGGGGAATTGGTGTAGTTTACATTCAGCATTCTGATGATTCACAGTCACTGCAATTTTCATTGCTTATCGCATTTTGCTGCGGCCTTCATCGCTGTAGGAACCAAGACATCCATCGTTAAGATTGTGCTATAACATAACTTTTAAAATTGTATTATATAATATGTAAATACATATTATATCTAATATACAATTTCAAATAGTTTATATAATATAATATTATTAAAAAAATAAAATGTAAAACATTGAATATTATAATTGTTCGAAAAAGAATTATAATAACTCCTTATTACGAACATACAATAATAATTATATATATATATATTTATATATACATATGTTAATATTATATTAAGTAATTAGAATTATTATAATTCTCTTTCTATAGAAAATATTACCATAATTTTCATAAATACCTATATACAAATTAATATGGGTATTGATTAGGTAATATTTTAACGCATTTTTTCATTTCATAATAATGATCCTTCCGCAGGTTCACCTACGGAAACCTTGTTACGACTTCTCCTTCCTTTAAAAGATAGGATTTACGGTTTTTCCAAAAAAAAACAAAATATAAATTTTATTTCTTCTTGTCCAAACAATTCATCATATCTTTCAATCGGTAGGAGCGACGGGCGGTGTGTACAAAGGGCAGGGACGTAGTCAGCACAATCTGATGAATCATGCTTACTAGGCATTCCTCGTTCAAGATTAATAATTGCAATAATCTATCCCCATCACGATATATATTGATAAAGATTACCTACACTTTTCAGTGGAGGAAAATTATACAAAATGTATATATATAAAATATATATACATTCGTATATTTTTAATAACTCGTTATATATATCAGTGTAGCACGCGTGCAGCCTAGTTCATCTAAGGACATCACAGACCTGTTGTTGCCTTAAACTTCCTTGTGTTAGACACACAATGTCCCTCTAAGAAGCTTTACAATCAAGTAAATACATTCTTATACAAAAAAAGAAATAGAGT